GCATCATTTTGATTGCAGATATTTAAAGAGGAAAAATAGCCTATTTTAAAATGCTCATAACTCCTTAAATATTGACATTTCGGGGTTTTTAGCATCATTTTGATTGCAGGAAAAATAGCCTATTTTAAAATGCTCATAACTCCTTAAATATTGACATTTCGGGGTTTTTAGCATCATTTTGATTGCAGATATTTAAATAGGAAAAATAGCCTATTTTAAAATGCTCATAACTCCTTAAATATTGACATTTCGGGGTTTTTAGCATCATTTTGATTGCAGATATTTAAAGAGGAAAAATAGCCTATATTAAAATGCTCATAACTCCTTAAATATTGACATTTCGGGGTTTTTAGCATCATTTTGATTGCAGATATTTAAAGAGGAAAAATAGCCTATTTTAAAATGCTCATAACTCCTTTAATATTGACATTTCAGGGTTTTTAGCATCATTTTGATTGCAGATATTTAAAGAGGAAAAATAGCCTATTTTAAAATGCTCATAACTCCTTAAATATTGACATTTCGGGGTTTTTAGCATCATTTTGATTGCAGATATTTAAAGAGGAAAAATAGCATATTTTAAAACGCTCATAACTCTTTAAATATTGACATTTCGGGGTTTTTAGCATCATTTTGATTGCAGATATTTAAAGAGGAAAAATAGCCTATTTTAAAATGCTCATAACTCCTTAAATATTGACATTTCGGGGTTTTTAGCATCATTTTGATTGCAGGAAAAATAGCCTATTTTAAAATGCTCATAACTCCTTAAATATTGACATTTCGGGGTTTTTAGCATCATTTTGATTGCAGATATTTAAATAGGAAAAATAGCCTATTTTAAAATGCTCATAACTCCTTAAATATTGACATTTCGGGGTTTTTAGCATAATTTTGATTGCAGATATTTAAAGAGGAAAAATAGCCTATTTTAAAATGCTCATAACTCCTTAAATATTGACATTTCGGGGTTTTTAGCATAATTTTGATTGCAGATATTTAAAGAGGAAAAATAGCCTATTTTAAAATGCTCATAACTCCTTAAATATTGACATTTCGGATTTTTTAGCATCATTTTGATTGCAGATATTTAAAGAGGAAAAATAGCCTATTTTAAAATGTTCATAACTCCTTAAATATTGACATTTCGGGGTTTTTAGCATCATTTTGATTGCAGATATTTAAAGAGGAAAAATAGCCTATTTTAAAATGCTCATAACTCCTTAAATATTGACATTTCGGATTTTTTAGCATCATTTTGATTGCAGATATTTAAAGAGGAAAAATAGCCTATTTTAAAATGCTCATAACTCCTTAAATATTGACATTTCGAGGTTTTTTGCATCATTTTGATTGCAGATATTTAAAGAGGAAAAATAGTCTATTTTAAAATGCTCATAACTCCTTAAATATTGACATTTCGGGGTTTTTAGCATAATTTTGATTGCAGATATTTAAAGAGGAAAAATAGCCTATTTTAAAATGCTCATAACTCCTTAAATATTGACATTTCGAGGTTTTTTGCATCATTTTGATTGCAGATATTTAAAGAGGAAAAATAGCCTATTTTAAAATGCTCATAACTCCTTAAATATTGACATTTCGGGGTTTTTAGCATAATTTTGATTGCAGATATTTAAAGAGGAAAAATAGCCTATTTTAAAATGCTCATAACTCCTTAAATATTGACATTTCGGGGTTTTTAGCATAATTTTGATTGCAGATATTTAAAGAGGAAAAATAGCCTATTTTAAAATGCTCATAACTCCTTAAATATTGACATTTCGGGGTTTTTAGCATCATTTTGATTGCAGATATTTAAAGAAAAAAAATAACCTATTTTAAAATGCTCATAACTCCTTAAATATTGACATTTCGGGGTTTTTAGCATCATTTTGATCGCAGATATTTAAAGAGGAAAAATACCCTATTTTAAAATGCTCATAACTCCTTAAATATTGACATTTCGGGGTTTTTAGCATAATTTTGATCGCAGATATTTAAAGAGGAAAAATAGCCTATTTTAAAACGCTCATAACTTCTTAAATATTGACATTTCGGGGTTTTTAGCATCATTTTGATCGCAGATATTTAAAGAGGAAAAATACCCTATTTTAAAATGCTCATAACTCCTTAAATATTGACATTTCGGGGTTTTTAGCATAATTTTGATCGCAGATATTTAAAGAGGAAAAATAGCCTATTTTAAAACGCTCATAACTTCTTAAATATTGACATTTCGGGGTTTTTAGCATCATTTTGATCGCAGATATTTAAAGAGGAAAAATACCCTATTTTAAAATGCTCATAACTCCTTCAACATTGACATTTCGGGGTTTTTAGCACCATTTTGATCGCAGATATTTAAAGAGGAAAAATAGCCTATTTTAAAATGCTCATAACTCCTTAAATATTGACATTTCGGGGTTTTTAGCATCATTTTGATTGCAGATATTTAAAGAGGAAAAATAGCCTATTTTAAAATACACATAACTCCTTAAATATTGACATTTCGGGGGTTTTAGCATCATTTTGATTGCAGATATTTAAAGAGGAAAAATATCCTATTTTAAAATGCTCATAACTCTTTAAATATTGACATTTCGGGGTTTTTAGCATAATTTTGATTTCAGATATTCAAAGAGGAAAAATAGCCTATTTTAAAATGCTCATAACTCCTTAAATATTGACATTTCGGGGTTTTTAGCATCATTTTGATTGCAGATATTTAAAGAGGAAAAATAGCCTATTTTAAAATGCTCCTTAAATATTGACATTTCGGGGTTTTTAGCATCATTTTGATTGCAGATATTTAAAGAGAAAAAATAGTCTATTTTAAAATGCTCATAACTCCTTAAATATTGACATTTCGGGGTTTTTAGCATCATTTTGATTGCAGATATTTAAAGGGGAAAAATAGCCTATTTTAAAATGCTCATAACTCCTTAAAGATTGACATTTCGGGGTTATTAGCATCATTTTGATTGCAGATATTTAAAGAGGAAAAATAGCCTATTTTAAAATGCTCATAACTCCTTAAATATTGACATTTCGGGGTTTTTAGCATCATTTTGATTGCAGATATTTAAAGAGGAAAAATAGCCTATTTTAAAATGCTCATAACTCCTTAAATATTGACATTTCGGGGTTTTTAGCATCATTTTGATTGCAGATATTTAAAGAGGAAAAATAGCCTATTTTAAAATGCTCATAACTCCTTAAATATTGACATTTCGGGGTTTTTAGCATCATTTTCATTGCAGATATTTAAAGAGGAAAAATAGCCTATTTTTAAATGCTCATAACTCCTTAAATATTGACATTTCGGGGTTTTTAGCATCATTTTGATTGCAGATATTTAAAGAGGAAAAATAGCATATTTTAAAATGCTCATAACTCCTTAAATATTGACATTTCGGGGTTTTTAACATCATTTTGATTGCAGATATATAAAGAGGAAAAATAGCCTATTTTAAAATGCTCATAACTCCTTAAATATTGACATTTCGGGGTTTTTAGCATCATTTTGATCGCAGATATTTAAAGAGGAAAAATAGCCTATTTTAAAATGCTCATAACTCCTTAAATATTGACATTTCGGGGTTTTTAGCATCATTTTGATTGCAGATATTTAAAGAGGAAAAATAGCCTATTTTAAAATACTCATAAATCCTTAAATATTGACATTTCGGAGTTTTTTGCATCATTTCGATCGCAGCTATTTGAAAAGGAAAAATAGCCTATTTTTAAATGCTCATAACTCCTTAAATATTGACATTTCGGGGTTTTTAACATCATTTTGATTGCAGATATATAAAGAGGAAAAATAGCCTATTTTAAAATGCTCATAACTCCTTAAATATTGACATTTCGGGGTTTTTAGTATCATTTTGATTGCAGATATTTAAAGAGGAAAAATAGCCTATTTTTAAATGCTCATAACTCCTTAAATATTGACATTTCGGGGTTTTTAGCATCATTTTGATTGCAGATATTTAAAGAGGAAAAATAGCCTATTTTAAAATGCTCATAACTCCTTAAATATTGACATTTCGGAGTTTTTAGCATCATTTCGATCGCAGCTATTTGAAAAGGAAAAATAGCCTATTTTAAATTGCTCATAACTCCTTAAATATTGACATATCGGGGTTTTTAGCATCATTTTGATCGCAGATATTTAAAGAGGAAAAATAGCCTATTTTAAAATGCTCATAACTACTTAAATATTGACATTTCGGGGTTTTTAGCATCATTTTCATCGCAGATATTTAAAGAGGAAAAATAGCCTATTTTAAAGATATTTAAAGAGGAAAAATAGCCTATTTTAAAATGCTTATAACTCCTTAAATTTTGACATTTCGGGGTTTTTAGCATCATTTTCATCGCAGATATTTAAAGAGGAAAAATATAAATTTTTGAAAAATTTCTTGCTCTTGTAAATTTAATAGAAATGTCTAATTATTTTTCAACTTCCAGGTAACGAATAAGGTTGGTTGTCATTATTTTTGGGACACTTGTGATGCAGCGAGTACGTGTCACACATGCTTAGATATCGGTACCTCCTAAATGTTCCTTTCATATCTATTTCGGGGATAGTGTAGGGTAAATAGATTTCGACCCTTCCGAATTTAACACTTTCTTTACCTATTATTTGTTGACCTAATTCAAATGACTTGCAATCCTATTAACGTTTGAAATTTTTACAAATTTAATAACCCTCTGAGCTTAATGGGATTATACGAGTATGGGTTAACAATGACAACAACAAGAATACAACAACAACGACAATTTCCTGTACCGGTTTGTTGAAACCAAATGCAAATAATTATATTTTGTGACCAAGTTTAATACTCTTCGCTGTTGTTGCTGTTGTTGTCATTGTTAATTGCACAGAAATGCAAATTGTTGTTGTTGCCATTGTTTTCATAGATTAAGGTTTATTGGGAATTGTTTAATCAGCAAGTGTTTCAGTTAACGAAATTATTTCAAATTGTGAGGATTACTCGAATGTAAAACGACGACGTTGAAATGTTAAAATTTTATTTCGGAGTATGTCTGCTTGGAGCGTTAGTAGCCTGGTTGGCGGAATCGAGGATCCTGCGTTCGGTGGATGATCCAGTACTTCAATCCAAAGCCAAGGAAATGTTGAAATATATGAACATGTCCGTGGATCCCTGTGAAGATTTCTATGAATTTACCTGTGGCAATTGGAATCGTTACCACTCGGCCGAATTGGAAAATGAGCCGGCAACGGGTCTCTTGGAAACCCTGCAAAAGTCACTGGATCAAAAACTCATTGAAATCTTGTCCACGGAGGAGTCTAAGGATACCGCAGTGGATAAGAAGATAAAGGATTTTTATAAATCTTGTTTGAATCTACCCAATCTTGAGAAGAATTATGCGGAAAAGTTAAAGAAATTGATTGCAGAATTCGGCGAAATGCCAGCCTTGGTGGGTGGAAAGTGGCAGGAGGATCAATTTGATTGGCTGCAGACAATTGGAGAAATTTATCATAAATATGGTATTGGAATTATTACCAGTGTTGAAGTGGCCGTGGATTTGGCGGACAATAGTGTAAATCGTTTGTATTTTAACCAACAAGATTTGACCCTGGAGGGCAAGGCAGTTTACAGCGACAATGACAAGATGAATTTAGTGAAGCGGCTCACCAATATTGTGGCCTCTAGGCTAGTGGTATTCTTGAACATGGATGTGAAATTGGCCATAAAAACTGCCAAGGAAATTGTTCAATTTGAGGCGGACTTGGCCCGAGGTGTGGATGAGATAGAATCTGTGGCAGATTTTCAAGATATGGTCGATTTAAGTACCCTGGAAGAGGCCCAAGAGAAATACGGCTCGGAATTGGATCTGAAGAAACTGGTGGAATTGTCTTTCGGTTCCATACCCCCATTGAAGGTGTATATCAGCGAGACTTACACTCGAAACCTTATTGAAGTTATGAAAAAAACTCCCCCCAGGCAGGTGGCAAATTTTATTTTCTACAAATTGATTAGCAAATTTTTGGTCTCCATTCCGGAGGACAAGGATGATTTGCCTCTAAACTGTTTGAGTGACATGAAGACATATTTTTCCAAAATATTTGATAATATGGTCTATCGCAAGTACAAAACCCAGGAAATTGAGCAGGGTATACGACTCATGTGGCATCAAATTAAGGAGGCCTTCAGGGATACCCTGGAATCGCAGCACTACAATTGGATAAGTCCTGCCACACGAAAATATGCAGTGGAAAAACTGGGCGCCATGGAAATGGATATAGTCTCATATCAGGATTATGATTTCAATGACCTCTATGTCGATCTCAAGGTGGACAACAAGGACTATGTGGAAAATCTGAAATCCCTATATGCCCTGGGGGCCAAACAAAATCGTGAAAGTATCAACGAAGAACCTCAACCCATAGATTTTGGAGATGATCTCTCCACAACACCATCCAATATTCTAATTGAAAATGTTGTGAAAGTTCCCGTTAACCTGCTGCAATCGAATTATGTTTGGTCCTCCCACTATCCGAATGCTTTCAATTTTGGTGTCCTTGGCTCTCTGCTCTCGCATGAGCTCATTCACGGCTTCGATGACACCGGGCGCAATCATGGCAAGGATGGAAATGCCCTGGAATGGTGGGATCCCAAATCTTCGGAAAATTTCAACAAACGTTCCCAGTGTTTCAATAGCCAATATCAGGGCTTTGTTTTCCACAACAAACATCTACCCGATATGCCGGCTCAAGGTGAGAATATTGCCGATAATGGTGGGGTAAGATTGGCCTATTCGGCCTATTTAAAGTGGCTCAAGGAGGTCCAGGGAAAGCATCCTTCGAGCATTATGGAATCGATGCCTGGCATGAAATTCAGCGATAAACAGCTGTTCTTTGTCAGTTATGGTCAGCTGTGGTGTGGTGATGTCAATCCGGTCTACAGACAGCTACAAGAATCGACGGATACCCATGTCCCGGATAAATTTCGTGTCATTGGTCCCTTATCGAATTTCGAAGAATTTGCCAAGGAATTTCAATGTCCCGCGGGGAGTGGCATGAATCCATACAAGAAATGTGAAATTTATTGAGAAATTAATTTAAATTTTAATAATGTTTAAAATGTTATAACAAATATTTTTGTATTCAAACATTTAATTATTTTAGAAACTGTGATTAAAAAAAAATAATAAATAATAAAAAATTTTTAATTTTAAACAATTTTAGAAATTTTTATTTGTTGAAAATAATGGGAAAAATTAAATTCTAGCCAAATCTGTTGACTTTCAAAAAGCCCTAAAACATAGGTCTTGTTGAACGAAATCTGTTTCAAGGCATTTTGAGTTAATATAGCATTGTTCTATCTGATATCCGATTATGTCCAAATTTTGACATATCGTAATATTATGATCAATTTTAAATCCACTTCGGAAATGGGCAATACACATCTCCCACAAACAGTCAACGTTTTTATAGAAAGAATTGCTTCTTAAAAGAGAAATGGATCATCGTATTTTGCTCCAACTTGGCAAAATCAAATTTTAGTATCCGTGCAAGGATCTATCTATCTATCTATCTAGAAAGAATAAACTGATTGTCTGACTGGTCAACGCCCAGACGAAACGGCTGAAGCTAGAATCTTGAAATTTTGGGTGAGGGTCCGAAGGCGTCAGATAAGGTCAGATAAGGCTGGGGCTTTGGAAATTCGAACTACAAAAGTACCAAAAAGTACAAAATATGGTACCCTTTGCATTTGATATCAATACAGCTAGAACTCCTAAATTTGGGTAGAGGGTCACTGATGGAGTGTTTGATGGATGTACTAAAGGGTTTTTAAAATTGGCACTATAAGTGTACGAAAAGTATTGTACAGAGTGAGATAATTGAATGAAATCAAACAAGTAAAAAAACATAAAGTTCTGCCTGGCCAAACTTTTAATACCTTCCACCTTAGGGTAAAGGAAACATTAGAAGAAATGTGACAAAAACATTAAAATGCCGAATATCGGGATGTGGACCTACACATGCAATGTATCGCCAAAGGAGCTAGAACCCATTATGACCTACAAATACCAATCTTCAGACAAATCTTTGAAAAAAAATGTGGAAAAATCATCAAATTACCGAATATCGGGAGGTACCGTTATATGGGGCCTATACCAAAACGTGGACCTATAATTACAATGACTCGCCACACGAACTGGAACCCATTATGACCAAAAAATGCCAATTCTCAGACAAATCCGTGGAAAAATGTGGCAAAAAAATAGCAGACGGAATATCGGGAGGTACCTTTATATGGGGGCTATACCAAAACGTGGACCTATACATGCAATGTTTGCCACACGCACAGGGACCCGCCATGACCTACAAATACCAATTTTCATCCAAATCCGTGAAAAAATGTGGCATAAATCATCAAAATACCGAATATCGGGAGGTAACGTTATATGGGGACTATACCAGAACGTGAACCGATATATCTCATTTTCAATACCAACCATCCTAGACACAATACAAATTGCTCTGCTAAATTTTGGCGGTCTACGTCGGATAATGTGGGCTGTATCGTGATTTCAACAGACAGACAGACGGACATCGTTAAATCGACTTAGAATTTTATGCTGATTATGAATATATATACTTTATGGGGTCTACGACGAATATTTAAGGATGTTACGAACGGAATGACAAAGTTTATATACCCTCCTTTCCAAGGTGGAGGGTATAAAAATGCCGGAAATAGCATCAAATTTTAGAATAAATCTAGATTTGTTCGAATTGGTCACCTTTTTAATGAATTATGCCCTTAAAACGGCAAATGAAACCGTCACACGCTGCCCGAATGTTGCTCTGCGGCGAAGCGCTTGCTTGAGGTAATCGACACTTTGGTATTTATTAGTGCCAACCTTGCTTTCCAAAATACTCCAGACACAATAGTTCAACGGACTGGAAATGAAGCGATTAACCTCATTTTGTAACCATTCTTGGGTGGCGCGTGCTGAGTGCGATGGTGCTGAGTCCTGTTGGAATGTCCAAGGTCTGCGGCCAAAATGTTTGAGTGCCCACGGCTTTAAAACCCCCATTCAGAATATTTTCGCGATAATATTCGGCCTTTATTCTGATGCCTACGAGTGGAGATCGAGCATCGGCTGTTATGGCGGCCCACACCATCACCATGGCCGACGCTTGAGTTCTGGTGTCATTTTCTCATCATTTTGTTGGTGTACAAACTGCTGGACAAAGAATGTTTTCTCATCGGAGAAAACCAAATGCGGCAGTTCACCACTTTCGGCCAAGCGAAGCAAATGTCTGAACAATTTGTTGAAAATCGATCCATTATTGCAATACCCTCTATTTGTCTCCCTTCAAAATTGACCTATTAAGCCTACATTTTATAATTGTTTTCCTCATTTCTTTTTATACCCTCCACCATACTATGAAGGATATAATCACTTTGTCATTCCGTTTGTAACTCCTCGAAATACTGATCAGCGTAAAATTCTAAGTCGATTTAGCGATGTATGTCTGTCTGTTGTAATCACGCTATCTGTCGAACAAATTGAGATAGAAGGCTAAAATTTTGCACACATGCATATTTGCCAGTAGGCAGGTTAAGTTCGTAAATGGGCCATGTAGGTCCAAGTTATCATATAGCCCCCATATAACTGTATCTCCCGATATTCAGTAATTTGGATGATTTTAGCGACATTATTCACCGGAATTGTTTCAAATTTGGCATTTGAAGTTCGTAATGAATACTACAGCATAAGACAGAAAATTATCTGTGCAGGTCCACGTCTTCGTGTAGCCCCCATATAACGGTACCCCCCGATATTCGGTATTTTTATGATTTTAGCGACATTCTTCACCGGAATCGTTTCAAATTTGGTATTTAAAATTCGTAATGGATACTGCATCCTAAGTCAAAAAATGAGCCATGTAGGTTCACGTCTTCATATAGCCCCCACATACGTACCCCCCGTTATTCGGTATTTTGATGATTTTAGCGACATTATTTACCGGGATTGTTTCAAATTTCGCATGTGAAGTTCGTAATGGATACTTCAGCCCAAGCCAGAAAATTGTCTGTGCAGGTCCACGTCTTCGTATAGCCCCCATATAACGGTACCCCCCATATTCGGTATTTTAATGATTTTAGCTACATTATAAACAGATTTTTCTTCAAGTTTCGCATTTAAATATTGTAATAACTTATGACGAAAGTTGCCTATGCAGGCCCACGTCGTCGTATAAGCATTCGGTATTCTTAAGATTTTAACAGAATTTTTAACGGATTTTATTTTTTGGAAATTGCCAAATTTGTACTAAATGGCGGAGGTTAATAAAACTTTTTTACTTTTTTACTTGTTGGAATTTCTATGGGCATTTTTCAATATTTGCCGAATGGAATGGAATATTGCGATAGGTTCAGCTCACGAGTCATTTTCCATTTCCTTGACTTCGGGTTACGCTGTAACGAGGAATGGTAAGAGACACAAAAGATTTATTCACATTTAAATGCTGGAGTGCTCTAGTGATAGCCACTTGTGGTTTTCTAGCCAAATATACCCTATATTTGTCTCCCATCAAATTTGACCTATTAAGCATACATTTTATAATTTTTTTCCTCATTTTGTCTTTTTATAAATTTAATTTATTAAAAACTTATCATTCATAATAGTTTATCACTTAAAACGTTTATTTGGTAGAAAAAAAAAAACTATTTTTTAAAAAAATAGAAAAAAAAAACCGCAGACAAAAAGCTACCATTTAAAGAAAGTTTCTGCCACAGAAACAAAGCGCTGGCATTACCGAGTCCCACAAGTCAAAGAAAGAAGAATTATTTTTTTTTCGTTTTTGTTGGTTTTGTCTTCAACAAAATCATAACATCTGTCTTCCAGCCACATGAGGCATGTCAAAAACGTTACACAATTGAAACTTTGATGTATGAGTGAAAATGAGTGTGGGATGCTCAGTGGTGTTCACAGTATCGGTTTCACAGACACATACTCAAACATATGTATATATAAGTGTGTGTGTGTGTTTGCCACTCCACACACACACACACGAAATTGACAACTCACATCAATTACAATTAGTGCAAAAATATTATTTTGAAGCAACATTTTGCCAAAACGAAAACATATCGATTTTCAAGGATGTCTGAAATACCAGGGTTCACCAAAAAAAAAAAAAAAAAGTCGAGATGGAATGTTGAGCTGATGTTTGGCTTGGAATTGAAACGATATTGAAATATGACATCTTATATTTCTTATTGTATTTATATAATATGTCTAATGGGAATAAGCATGCATGACGATGACAGTAACATGTCTGTGGGGTGTAATCTTAGCCTAACGAGGAAGAGTGTTAATCTACAAGGAAGACACAACTTCGAGGACATAAATATATTGGGAATATTTATGCCTACATCAGAAAAAACAAGTAAAAAAGCTGTAAGTTCGGCTGTGCCGAACTTTAAATACCCTCCACCATTTGGAACAAATTTGGCAATTTCCAAAAAAAAAAAAAAAAAAAAATAATAATAAAATCCGTTAAAAATTCTATTAAAATATTAAAAATACCGAAAGCCTATACGACGACGTGGACCTGCATAGGCAACTTTTGTCATAAGTTATCACAATATTTAAATGCGAAACTTGAAGAAAAATCTGATTATAATGTAGCTAATATCATCAAAATACCGAATATAGGGGGTACCTTTATATGGGGGCTATACCAAGTCGTGGACCTGCACAGACAATTTTCTGGCATGGACTGAAGTATCCATTACGAACTTCACATGCGAAATTTGAAACAATCCCGGTAAATAATGTCGCTAAAATCATCAAAATACCGAATATCGGGGGGTACGGTATATGGGGGCTATACGAAGGTGTGGACCTGCATGGCTCATTCTTTGACTTAGGATGTAGTATCCATTACGAACTTCAAATACCAAATTTGAAACGATTCCGGTAAATAGTGTCGCTAAAATCATCAAAATACCGAATATCGGGAGGTCCCGTTATATGGGGGCTATATGAAGACGTGGTCCTACATGGCTCATTCTTTGACTTAGGATGTAGTATCCATAACGAACTTCCAGTACCAAATTTGAAACGATAAAATCATCAAAATACCGAATATCGGGGGGTACCGCTATATGGGGGCTATACGAAGACGTGGGCCTGCACAGATAATTTTCTGTCTTAGGCTGTAGTATCCATTACGAACTTCAAATGCCAAATTTCAAACAATTCCGTTAAATAATGTCGCTAAAATCGTCAAAATACCGAATATCGGGAGGTACCGTTATATGGAGCTATATGATAACTTGGACCTACATGGCCCATTTACGAACTTAACCTGCCTACTGGCAAAATATACATGTGTGCAAAAATTTAGCATTCTATCTCAATTTGTTCGAAAGATAGCGTAATTAGAACAGACAGACAGACACACAGACGGGCATGGCTAAATCGTCTTAGAATTTTACGCTGATCAAGAATATATATATATACTTTATGGGGTCTGACATGAGTATTTCGAGGAGTAACAAACGGAATGACAAAATTAATATACCCTCCATAGTATGGTGGAGGGTATACAAATGTATAGGTTTAAAATATGCCGACTTTAAGACAACATTTTAGACATTTCGCTCATTTACTTAAGTAGTATTCTACCAAAAATCAGTTTCGAGAGAAGCGCATTTTAAGTTATCTATTAAAATTTGACATTCCGAATTAAAAAGATTATTCAAAAAAATAATAATATAACTACTCAGAGAATTATTTGTGACCCCTTCATAAGATAAACTTGAGAGCTTACCTTGTTAAAATAATAAGAGAAAATATGATCTTCATTTCGAATATTATATTGACGTAAATTGCATTGAAGTATTGTAAACTTATATCTTATATTTGTATTTGTAATGAGCATTTTTGCTGAGCAAATCTAACTCACATTTTATAAAACGTGTATTAAAAATATTTTTTCTTTATTTTCAGATAATCAAGTGGCACTTGTAACGCTGTAACCTGTTTGTTGGATTGTTTAGTTGAGACTAATCCTTGGAACCTTTAATTTTTGGTAAGATTAAGAAACGTTTACATTATTAATAACATTGTGGCGCAAAATTCATTATGACTAGAAAATCCCAGTAGATAAAGAAAGTAGAGATAACAAGTAAAAAAGCTGTAATTTCGGCTGGCCGAACTTTGAATACCTTCCAGCATTTGGAACGAATTTGGCAATTTTCAAAAAAAAAAAAAAATCCGTTAAAAATTTTGTTAAAATCTTAAAAATATCGAATATGCCGTGTGTATACATAGACAACTTTTGTCATAAGCCATTCAAATGCGAAACTTGAAAAAAAAAAAAAAATCGGAGAATAATATACCATTATATAGGGGCTATATCAAAACGTGGACCTGCAAAGGCGATTTTCTGACATAGGTTGTAGTACGAAATTAAATACCAAATTTGAAAAATTCCTGTGAATAATGTCGCTATATTCATCAAAATACCGAATATCCTGAGGTGCCGTTATGTGGGAATTATATGAAGGCGTGGAGCTACACAGACAATTTTCTGTCATAGGCTGTAGTATCCATTACGAACTTCAAATATCAAATTCGAAAAAATTCCGGTGAATAATGTCGCTAAAATCATCAAAATACCGAAAATAGGGAGGTACCTTTATATGGGGGCTATACCAAAACGAGGACCTACATGGCCCATTTTCAATACCAAAAGTCCTGCAGACATAATATACATTTGAGTAAAATTGTATCATCTTATTTCATTTCGTTCGGAAGCTAGAGTGATTTTCACATACGGACATATTACACATGCAAGAGACTTTAACACCAAATCGGAGCTATAGCTATATCTGAACCGATTTTCACCAAAATTAGATGTACTTGCTTTTATACTGAATTCGATCGGATATGTCAAAATTCAGTCATTTTAACTGATATTGGACATTTGGTGCACAATTTACCCGAAATTTGTTGAAGGTATGTATGGGAGCTACAGGGTGAGGTAAAAAAGAGCAACACAGTCAAATGCCATAATTTTTACATTTTTTTTAATTTTATTGAATGAAAGCAAAAAAAATGTCGGAAATAGCATCAAATTCTGGAATAAGTTTAGATTTGTTCGAATTGGTCACTTTTGGTACGAATTATGGCCTTCAAACGGCCAATGAAACCGTCACACGCTGCCCAAATGTTGCTCGGCGGTATTTTGGCCCATTCATGGCGAAGCGCTTACTTGAGGTGATCGACACATTGGTATTTTTTAAGTGCCAACCTTGCTTTCCAAAATACTCTAGACACAATAGTCCAACGGATTGGTATCCGGAGATTGTGCACTGGAAATGAAGCGAGGAACCTCATTTTGAAACCATTCTTTGGTGGCGCGTGCTGAGTGCGATAGTGCTGAGTTCTGTTGGAATGTCCAAGGTCTGCGGCCAAAATTTTTGGGTGCCCAAGGCTTAAATACATCCTCCAGAATATTTTCGCGATAATATTCAGAATTTATTCTGATGCCACGGTCGATTAATACGAGCAAAGAGCCACCATCGGTTGTTATGGAGGCCCACACCATCAGCATGGCCGGCGCTTGAGTTTTGGTGGCCAACCGAAGGTGCACATTTTCAGCTGACCTCGTTGGCAAGTAAACACGATCACCTTGTTTGTTTACAAACAGCTGGACAACGAATGTTTTCTCATCGGAGACAACTAAATTCGGCTGTTCCCCAAATTTCGGCCAAGCGAAGTAACTTTTTATCCCTTTTTGAGTCTATTTTCTTTCTGTTGTTTTGTAAATTTTGTGGAATTTCAATGGCTTTACCCCGAGCTCATTTTTCAATATTTGCCAAATGGAACCATTTCTGCTGATTTTGCTGTTTTCTTCCGTTCGCTTCCTTGACGTCGGGCTATGCTACCAGTATCACAGCAAGCGATGTTATGACACAAAAAAAATTTATTCACATTTAAATGCTGAAATGCTCTAACGATAGCCACTTGTGGTTTTCCAGCCAAATATAAAGAAATCACACTGTCACGCTTGATTTACATCACGAATAACTTTTTTCCTGGAAAATTCTCACCAAAATGCTTTCGTAAACCATATAATGAGCTGTCACTGGAATAATTTTAACAGCTGTCGGACGAGTGGCTAAGAAATTACAGCAGTCTGAAGTTGGTTGCAGTTTTTTTCATCTCACCCTGCATATCTAAATGAATCGATTCTCACCAATTTCAATTAGATTTCTTCTTGGGCCAAACAAACATTTTGCATTTCGTTCACAAAAATAAATAGACAGACGGACGGACGGACGGACGGATTGACATGCATAAACCGACTCAGAAAGTGATCCTATGAAAATCCTCAAAAGTAACTATGGGTCTATCTCGTTTCCTTCTTCTCCTTACCACCAGGTGGTGTAAGATATAAAAAGTTCGAAAGTTTACTTTAATGTTGTATATTAGTGGTGGAATAACGAATAAAGTTAAAATTCTCCAATTGTGAAGAAAAATTGCTTGCCTGGGATTTCATATTTTCAGGCTATATTTGATTACTTGACTATCCTCTTGTTTTCTTCCAAGAAACTTTAAAAGCTGTAATATTTTTGGTTAATGAAAATTAGTATAACAAGTTTTTCCTGAAATTTCTAAAGGAAAACCTAATCATATCAGCGCCATTTCACCGCTTTCAAATATATACATCCCAAGGGTTTTAACTTTTTTCTTTTGTTTTCCTTTTAAAACTTAAACTTCCACAGACATCACATAGCCGAAAAAAGAACAAGTCAAACACACACACACACACACACAAAGAGGACAAAAATCACTATCTTAATTCATTGTTTTTACAAAAGGAATCGTTTAAAACGTACATGATAAAACGTTTTCCGGTACGATATGTGGATGCCACGGAAACTTTTGCACAAAGGCAAAAAAGGTTCCAAAGCGAAAAGGAAAGAAAACTTTTCATTGATTTCATTGGCTTCAAAGAGTTTTGTTGTTGTTTTTGCTGCTGGATGTTATCGAACACCTAATTAATATTTTAAGGATGCTTTGTTAAGGGTTTTGTTGTTCCATCCGAGGGATACTTGTATCTTTTTCACACCAACCTATTGACATCTGGACCCAAGGAAAAACGTGTCCTTTGTTTCCTTAACTTTTGGGGGCGATAAATTGATAATAAAGGTTATTTCCTTGAAGTTTTTTTTTTGGAATTAAATTCATTGGGTAAATAAAAGGGAATTAAATTGGTTCTATTTTAAAATAGAAATTTTAGAACAAACTAGTATCAGGTTTCCCAATAAATATATAAATGTATCCTATGACAATTTATATATGTGTATGTACATATACTCATTATTTTGCTTGCAAGCGTACAACAGCATTTTGGTGAGAATTTTCCAGAAAAAAGTTATTCGTTTTTGGCTGGAAAACCACAAGTGGCTATCGTTAGAGCGCTCCAGCATTTAAATGTGAATAAATCGTTTGTGTCTCGTACCATCGCTCGTTACCGTGATACTGGTAGCGTAGCGTAGCGACGACAAGGAAGTGGACGGAAGAAAACAGCAAGATCACCAGAAATGTTTCGAAAAGTAAAGAAGCGACTTGATCGAAACCCGCTTCGCAGTGGCCGAAAAATGGCTTGTGAACTGAATATATCGCAATATTCCATTCGGCAAATATTGAAAAATGAGCTCGGAGTAAAGCCATTGAAATTTCAAAAAATGCAGGAAATTCCGCAGCAGAAAGAAAGTAGACTTGAAAGAGCTAAAGAGTTTGGCCGAAAGTGGTGAACTGCCGACTTTGGTTTTTTCCGATGAGAAAACATCCTTTGTCCAGCAGTTTGTAAAAAAATAAAATGATCGTGTTTATCAGCGGAAAATGTGCACCTTCGGTTGGCCACCAGAACTCAAGCATCGGCTATGGTGATGGTGTGGGCCGCCATAACAGCCGATGGTAGCTCTCCGCTCAGAATAAATGCCGAATATTATCGCGAAAATATTCTAGAAGGTGTATTAAAGCCTTGAGCAATCAAACATTTTGGCCGCAGACCTTGGACATTCCAACAGGACTCAGCACTATCGCACTCAGCACGCGCCACCCAAGAATGGTTACAAAATGAGTTTCCTCCCTTCATTTCCAGCCCACAATGGCCACCAAAATCTCCGGATACCAATCCGTTGGACTATTGTGTATGGAGTATTTTGAAAAGCAATGTTGGCACTAAAAATACCAAAGTGTCGATCACCTCAAGCAAGCGCTTCGCCTGGAATGGGCCAAAATACTGAAGAGCAACATTCGGGCAGCGTGTGACGGTTTCATTGGCAGTTTGAAGGCCATAATTCGTGCCAAAGGTGACCAATTCAAACAAATCTTAACTTATTCTAAAATTTTATGCTATTTCCGACATTTTTTGCTTTCATTCAATAAAATTTAAAAAAAATGTAAATATTATGGCGTTTGACTTTGTTGCAGGTTTTTTATCTCACACTGCATATACACTTTGCATAATTGAGATAAAAACAAATTGTCAAAATCTGGTGCTTATTTCACCCTCTATGAGTTGTTATGTTTCAAAAAAATTAACCATTGTAAAATGTGTACATATTCTACGTAGTTCTTAACCACATTCGTGTAATATTTATACCCTCCCCCATTGTATGGAGGGTATATTAAGTTTTTCATTGCGCTTGTAACACCTCCAAATATACATTTTAGACCCTACAAAGTATATATATTCTTGATCAGCATAAAATTCTATATTGATTTAGCGATGTCCGTCCGTCTGTGGAAATCAGCTGTAGCTTCCGTACGATATGAAGTAGGTTGATAAAATTTTACTCAAATGTGTATTATGTCTGCAGGACTTTTGGTATTGAAAATGGGTTATGTATAACGCCCATATAATTGTACCTCCATTTCTTCGGTATTTTGATGATTTCAGCGACATTATTCGCCGGAAATGTTTAAAATTTGGTGTTTGAAGTTCGCAATGAATACTACAGCCTAAGACAGAAAATTGTCTGTGCAGGTCCCTATGTTCGGTATTTTGATGATTTTTATCTGCATTATTCACGCTTCAAGTTTCGCATTTGAATAAAGATAAAAGTTACCTATGCAGATCCATGTCGTCGTAAATACCCTCATATTACCGCTACATTCGGTATTTTTAAGATTTTAACAGAAAATGTAACCTATTTAATTTTTTTGAAAATTTAAAAATTCGTTCCAAGTAGTGGATGGTATTCAAAGTTCGTCCCGACCGAACTTACTTGTTTCTACTGGAAATGGAGGACCGATCCATCCATACATCATTCATTCATTTTGGCCGAAATAATGGGATGTGTAATGTTTGAAGATATTCTGGTGATAATTTCATATTTTATGAGAACTATTATTCAATTCTTCTGGGAGAGGTAGCAGAATGTAAGTGTCAAAATTGCCCATATTTAACCTCCCATGTGGAAAAATTCAATCCAATTGGATATTTTTTTCGCTTTACATAAAATATGTAATTTATTTTTGCATTTAGATTAAAGGTGGGGAGTAGCAGAAGATATATTCATTCTTACAAAAATTATAGTTTCGGATCTCATCACAGATCGTTTTGAGTTTCCCAACTCTAAGGGTATTCAATTTTTTTTTGTCCGAGGGCTTTTAAAATAATTTTTATAGGTGCCAGCATTACTCAGAAAAAATTCTCTTTAAAATGATTCTCTTCTTGATGAATGTTTAATCTTAAAGCAAATGTGTAATGTCTCAATTTAATTACGCTTTTGTTCGCTAAAACGGTTTCTTAAGATTATGATTCATACACGTTTGAACTGCTATGTATGATCTGAACTGTTCATAACAAATGTGGTTTTCTATGAACTTGAATGTTTTCATAAATAAACGTTGCCCGTTGAAAGCAAAAATGTTCTAAGTGGAAAATATACAAATCGTAACTAAATAAATAAATATTGCAGAGCCATTGAAATTGGTGAGACTTGGTCATTTGTAAAAATAGCTGTAATATATTTTTCCTCGATTTAGTAAAAATCATAATCCAAAAACTCAATCTAAAAGGTTCAGGGCTGCGGTCAGAAATTAAGATTCGAACAATATTAATGGAGTCAGACTTTGAGTTCAGAGAAATAGTTCGACTGCAAATACAGGCAAATAAATCTGTGAATCGTGAATTTTAAAATAAAATTAGCTTCCTTTCAAAGAGCAACGCAGGGCTAGGTCCCCCTGAAATGGATTCTTTTTAACTTGTTATTTTATTTTTTTTTTGTGTTTAGGCTACTTCCACTTGAAACCACAATACCAGAATTCACTTTGAATTCTATGAATTTCTCTGATAACCTTTCTAACCCATTAATGCAGAAATTTGTTTTGTTTATACGAAACGAGAGAGAGAGAGAGAGAGCGAGCGAGCGTGTGCGATTTAATTTACGACGAAACCCAGTTTTCTAAGACCATTCAGAACGTACAAATCTTTGAAATCGAAATATATACGAATTGAAATAATTTAAACAATATAATGTCAAATATTTTCACATACCTTCTCCTTGTGGCGGTGCTAGGTTTATCCTTTGCCCAGGGTGCCACAGTGAGTCGCGAGGAGCAGCGGCAACGTCAACAAAAATCCGAAGAAATACGAAAATACATGAATCTCTCGGCGAGCCCATGCCATGATTTCTATGAATTTGTGTGTGGCAATTTCAATCGCTATAATCCCACCGAGATTCAGGTGGATATATTTTCCATGTTGGAAAAGGAGTATGAACGTAAGCAGTTGAATGCCCTGACGAGAGAATCTCCGGGTGATACCGAAATGGAGAAGAGTGTAAGGAATTTCTATAAATCCTGTCTGAGTATCGATATGAATGTGCTGAGGGAAAAATTGAAAAATATTGTGGCAGAATTTGGAAAAATGCCCGCCCTTGAGGGTGATAAGTGGCGGGAACAAGATTTCGATTGGCTGCGAACGGTGGCGGAGATTGCCCATAAATATGATGTGAAATTAATATTGAATTATGAAATGTCAGCGGAGGGTTTGAATGGCAGACGTTTGAAGTTGGGTTTGGAAAATCTGCACGAAAGTTTGGCGGCCACAATAATACGCACGAAACATGGCTTCAGTGAGCAGATGATCATCGCCAGTAAACTGAAAAGTTATTTGGGTTTGAGCGAACCGAATGCCCAAAGGGTGGCCAAGGAAATTTCGGATTTCAAACAGAGTCTCTCGGCAGCCTGCCCAGCTGATGTGGCCAGCAAATCGACAACTTTAAATAAAATACAAAGGAAATATTTGCCTGATATTGACATTCGAAGATATTTGAGCGTGGCCATGGGTTCCAATCCGGCGGCCCAACTTAAAATCGATGATTACTTGGCCAATTGTCAGCAAAATATTGCCAATGTATTGCGCCGGACTTCCCGACGAACTTTGGCCAATTATGTATTCTATTACCTACTGAAACCCTTTATGATGCTACACGTTCCCAGCCAACAGCAGGAGCTATGTAAAATCGAAACAGCCACACATTTTGCCAGCGAAATGGATTTCATGGCCTATCGCAAGGAGGTATCCCAGCAAATGGAGAATGATTTGAAAACTTTTTGGATTACCATCAAGACCACATTTCAGAATATCCTGCAATCTCCTCGCCTCAGTTGGATTAGAAACAATACCCGCAGGACAGCCCTGGAAAAGTTAAGGGCCATGAAACTGGAATTTGGTCAATACGAGAGAAATATGTTTGCCGAAAAGTATCGCCAGCTAAAGCTCTATCGCAACGATTACATACAAAATATGAAAGCTATTTTGTCCTACAAGGCCCAACAGGCTCGCAGTCGGTTAAGTGACTCTAACCAATCAAATAACCTCGTGGAAAGGGAGGGCAGTCCCTTTACAAGCCGGCCCAAGAACACGGTCATATTCCCTGTATCTTCGCTGCAGCCCCACTATCTTTGGCACGGCTCATCACCGAATGCCATGAAATTTGGCACACTGGGTTTCTTGGCCTCGCATGAGCTCATCCATGGCTTCGATGACAAGGGCATCTTCTATGACAATCGTGGCCAATTCAAACGCTGGTGGGACAACTATTCCTTCCTCGATCTCTACAGTCGCATGGATTGTTTTAGTGAACAGTATAAAAAATACAATTATCTGGGTGATTCCCAGTCGGAAAATATTGCCGATAATGGTGGCTTGCGGCTGGCCTATGAGGCCTACAATAAATGGTATGGTGATAAAGTGCGCTTTCATCAGGATGTTGGCGAAGAAACTTTGCCGAATTTGAATTACAACAACAAACAATTGTTTTTCATTGCCTATGGGCAGATGTTTTGCAGCAACACAAATTCGGATTTGAACAGCCTAGACACGTCGGAATTTGGTCATGTTCCTCACAAATATCGGGTAAATGGGCCGCTGTCGAATTTGGAGGAATTTTCGAGGGAATTCAATTGTCCTCGCGGCAGTGCCATGAATCCAACAAAGAAATGTGTTATGTATTAGATATTGTTATTTTTGAATAAATATTTATAATTAAAGGGAAAGGAAGAGTTTTTTTTTTATATTGGAAATTCGATATTCAACGATTTTGAATAATAAATTAGTAAAGAAATTCACAAGTATCAGTCGGTTTTGCCAACCGATGAATACATCTGCCAATGTCTGTCGGTTTACATATATTTTGATTTGCGTTATGATTATTCAAGCTTTTGACCCTCTATGGAGGATGTTCTTATATGCGATATATTTTGGGAAATATTCAAATGTATAAAATGCCTGATGAACCAGATACAGTCGACCGTAGTATTCTACTTCGTCGAATACTGATAAAAATATTGGGATATGGAAAAATTTAAGAACATTTAAAACCTATTTACAATGCTATAGGAATAATGTTTTTGTCAAAATGTTAACCAAAGGGAGTGGACCGAAACATCTATTAGATCTATAGCTAAGAGACTGACAAGGACTGGACCGGATAATTAATTTATCTCCGGACTCAATCTAAGTTTGATGATAATATTACGATGTACCAAGTTACTCTTTTCGAGATACTCTTTTTCGGATACTCTTTTCGAGATTTATCCAAACGGATGGATAAGGATTTGTTGCAAAGGGATCTAGGGTCTAAAACCATTATTACGTTTTGGGCGTATCAAATTATATATACACTCTCTAGCCATATGGTTGAGAGTAGAAACATCATTTGAAGGTAAAATACTGAAGATTTATATATGTCGGTAAACAAACTGATGATTTCTAACAAGTTTTTATACCCTGCGCCACATAGTGGTAAGCTATAGCTCCCATATATATGTTTCATCCGATTTGGGGTTTTAAGTCGCTCACATGCTCGAAAATACCTCTGTCAAATTTTATCGAGATCAGTTCAGATTAGGATATATCTGCCATATATATCTTTATCCCATATCAGGATTATTTTGCACCGAATGACTAATATCGACCCAAATGGACACTTACTACTGAGTTCATCCTAAAAATTAATAATTCAAATTTGGTGTAAATCGGTTCAGATATAGCTATAGCTCCCAAATTATAGAATAAGTTTACATTTTTTCGAATTGCTCTCTTTTGGCACAAATTATGGCCTTCAAACGGCCAATGAAACGGACACACGCTGCCGAATGTCGCTCTGCGGTTTTTTCGACATTTTGGTACTTTTTAGTGCTAACCTTGCTTTCCAAAATACTCCAGACATTGGCCATTGTGCGCTGGAAATGATGCGTGAAAACTCATTTTGTAACCATTCTTGGGTGGTGCGATAATATTCCGCATTTATTCTGATGCCACGGTCGATTAATACGAGCGGAGAGCGACCATCGGCTGTTATGGCGGCCCACACCATCACCATGGCCGGCGCTTGAGTTCTGGTGGCCAACCGAAGGTGCACATTTTCAGCTGACCACTTTGGCAAGTAAACACGATCATTTTGTTTGTTTACAAACTGCTGGACAACGAATGTTTTCAAATTGGATAAAACCAAATTCAGCAGTTCACCACTTTCGGCCATGCGAAGCAACTCTTTAGATCTTTTGAGTCTATTTTCTTTCTGTTGCGGTGTAAGCTCTTGCACTTTTTTGGAATTTCAATGGCTTTACCCCGAACTCATTTTTCAATATTTGCCGAATGGAATATTGCAATATGTTCAGCTCACGAGCCATTTTCGGCCGATGCGACGCGGGTTTCGATGAAGTCGCTTCTTTAATTTTCGAACCATTTCTGCTGATGTTGATGTTTTCTTCCGTCCTCATCCTTGACGTCGGGGTACGCTACCAGTATCACGGTAACGGGCGATGGTTCGTGACACAAAAGATTTATTGACATCTAAATGCTGGGGTGCCCTAACAATCACAAAATCAAGCTTGAATTTCATCACTAATACCTTTTTTCTGGAAAATTCTCACCAAAATGCTTTTGTACGCTTGTAAACAATATAATGAGCTATCACTGGAATAATTTTAACAGCTGTCGGGCGAGTGAATTAGCAATGACGGCCGTCTGAAGTTGGTTGCAGGTTTTTTATCCTCAAACGATTTCGTTTTAATTGTGCACCAAATGGGCAATATCAGTCCAAATGACTTGAATTTTGGCATATACGACCGAATTAAGACTGGAAGCAAGTACATTAAATTCGGAGAAAATCGGTTCAGATATAGCTATAGCTCCCATTTCATCTGATTTGGTGTTTAAGCCCCTCACATTCGTAAAATGCATTCAAAAACAATGATATTTGGTACCAGATATCTTATAGAGCTCAGAAATACCTCTGCCAAATTTTATCAAGATCGTTTCAGATTTGGATATAGGTCCCATATATATCTTCAAACGATTTCGGGTTAATTGTGCACCAAATGGCCAATATCTGTCAAAAGGTTCTGAATTTTGGTATAGCTATAGCTCGCATATATATGTTTAATATAATGATATTTGGTACTACATGTCTTATAAAGCTCGGAAATACCTACAACAATGATATTTGGTACCACATGTCTTATAGAGCTCGAAAATACATCTGCCAAATTTGATCAAGATCGGTTCAGATTTGGAAACATGTCCCATATATATCTTCAACCTATTTCGTGTTAGTTGTGCACCAAATGGCCAATATATGTCCAAAAGTCCTGAATTTTGATACATCCGACCGAATTCAGTCTGGAAGCAAGTACATCATAAAGCTCGAAAATAACTTTGCCAAATTTTATTGATATCGGCTAAGATTTGGATATAGCTCCCATATATATCCTTAATCCGATTTCAGGTTTATTGTGCAAATAATTGCTAACATCATCTGAAATGGAGTGAATTTTGGGACGTACATTTCTAGTTTTTGCAACTCGGCTCCGATTTATATTTCTTATATAATCCTATAATTGATCTAAAATCAAATGTTGATACGTCGTATGATCTTCTTGAAAAAAATTATTTTGTTGCGGGAGCTCTATTACATATGCATAGAGGTGTAGGTTATCATATAGTCGGTCCCGCCCGACTTTTGAGTTTTCCTTACTGGTCTTCAGTTTCAAGTGTTCATATTTGTTAACTATTACTTTATTAATTAGTAAAATAACATTACATTCGATAGCCTATATTTTGGTTTTTAATTTTTTGATACCAAAAGCTTGAAATCCAGCATGTCTTAAGCTCTTTCCCAAACATCTGGCATTAGCCAGCCCCCTGCTGGATGTGGTGTTAACTTTGAGCGTAGAATAAATTTTTACAACAAAAGGGTCATGTCCTTGAGAAGGAATGACAAAAAAAGCAGCAGCAAAAACAACAGCAACAAAGAACAATATTTGAACAGATAACGCATTTCAAGCACTCAAGTAGTTTATTTGAAATCCTTGGATAAATTTAGTTTAAAAGAATGCCTCTTCGATGCTGGTGCCCCGGCTGCTGCTGTTGTCGGGCATTCAGATGTGGTTGCTGTTTCGGCTTACTTGTTGTGATTATGCTTAACAAATAAATGCTATAAATGTTCTTAAGGACGTAGAGAACTGAATAAAAAACTGAAAAGAAAAACGCCCGCACACACGCACAGACATACTTAATATTGTCAACAAAAGTATTTTCAGAACGATGACAATGTTGTTGTGTTTATTCTGTTATTTCTTTTTTTTTTTTTTTTTTGTACATTCCACGAAGAAAATGTACAGAGCATCCGGTAGATGTTGGCATCTTTTGTAGGCAAACCATGGCAACAGTTCCAGCCAACAGTGTGTGTTACATTTATTGAGAATTGCTGGAATATGTATGGACGTATGTATATGTGTCTCTTGTCTTTACAACTGCCAGCTGTAATACTGTGTGGGGATGAATAAATAAAGGTCTTACAAGTAACACTGAATTCCGCTTTACACCTTTTTTTACATGGTAGCCAGCTTGGCAGCCCCTCCTGCTCGCGGTTGCAGGGCAAAACAGAAACACGCTCAACATCATTGGGTCCAATGTTTGTTTTATGCAAATTTCCGCTGTAAGCAAATTTTCGAATAACGCTTCCGGAAATGGGGTTTAAACGAATGCCATCATCGAAATAAAACTGCAAATTGCCCTTTTGCGCTGGCCAAGGTTGCGGTCCCTTCCATGCACAGGCTGTTGAATGTCGGGCCAGGAAGACATTTCATTGGAATTTTGTTAATTTAATAATGGAAATTTTACATTTACGATATGCATGAAAAATGCTAACACGATTTACGATATCTGATGCAGATTTTTTGTAAATCGGTAGTATTTTTTATAAAATATTTATACCCTACACCATAGTATGGGCGATATATAAAGTTCTCGTTCCGTTTGTTACTTCTCGAAATAATTATTTTGGGTCCCAGAAAGTGTATATATTCTCCATCAACCATATCCGTGCGCCTGTGAAAAGCACTCTAGATTCCGAACGGAATGAAGTAGGTGGATAAAATTTCACTAAAATTTATCATAGATCCGATTTTTTCCGTATCGCGACCATACAACAATGCCAGCAAATTCAAAAGGGTTTTTTGGTGTTTTAGTCAAATTTAAGCTGAAATTGCTGTAAATTGGCGCCTTGTGTTCCCAGTATTTGTAAATTATCCTTGTCATTTTTGTTTACACCCCATAAAAATGAACTTCCAGATATTCGGTATTTTGATAATTTGTGCCGAACTTTTCACCTCAATTGTTTCAAATTTGGTATGACAGAAAATTGCCTATACAGGTCAACGTTTTCGTATAGCTCCCATATAACCGATATTTTGATGATTTTAGCGACATTGACAATTGCTACTATTTCCACGGATAGAAAATTATTTACATGGGCCCGCATATTCTCGTAGCCCCCGTGTAACAGTTCCTCCCGATATTCCGTTTTCCATTTTCACTGGAATTATTTTAGGTTTGGTATTTGGATTTCATAAAAGGTACTACTTCCTATGTTAGAAAATTACCTTTACAGTTTCACATCTTCGTATATCCTCCATATAATGATACCTTCCAATATTCGGTATTTTACCCTTGGTGGTGTTAAAATTCCTCCGACCGAGTTATTTAAAAA